AAATAGGAAACCCTAATTGGGTTGTACCCCCTATGGGATACCCCACTATAGCCTACACAAATATGTAAGCTATAATGTTCTGACACACCCCCATAGGCAAAGTGGGGAAGAACAAGGGGTCACAAGACCAGTCAAGCAAAGCAAAGCAAAGCTCAGGGTGGATCACAAAGTCACCACACATTCCGAGCACAAGTTCAAAGGCCACAAGGCCAGTTCACATGCAAGATCATATATAGAGATATACAAGAGTCAAGCAAGCAAGAACAAGAGTATATATAGGTGAAGGTACAAGCAAGGTCAAGAAGTGAGCAAGTGAGGCAAGACAGGCACAAGACCTAGCTGCGTGCAGCAACGCTGATGATCACAAGGCGCAAGTGCCTTGGTGAAGACATCAGCAGTGTTGGCCTCAGAGGCCACGTACGCAAGTCGCAACTGTCCACGCTGCTGCAGCTCACGAGCAAGAAAGTAGCGGAGAGCAATGTGCTTTGTCCTGTGCTCCAGTCGCTGCTCTCGACACAAGGCCAGCATGGCCTTGTTGTCTACGTACAGGACTGGAGGAGAACGAGGCGGCTCTCCAAGGTCGGTCAGCAGGTAGGTGAGCCAGCGTAACTCCTGTGCAGCCATAGCCCCGGCGTAGATCTCAGCCTCACAACTGGAGCCGAGAACAGAAGACGAGCGAGTAGCCCGCCACGAAACAGAGCCGGAACCAAGGCCGAAGGAGTAACCTTGTGACGACCGCTGCGTAGCCTGGTCGTCAGCCCAAGAAGCGTCCGCGTGCCCAGTGAGGACCACTGGACTGCGCCCTCCAAGCACTAGCCCCATGCCCGATGTACTGCACAAGTAGCGCAACACCCTCTTCGCTGCAGCCATGTGCTCTGGTCGGTGTCTCCCAAGAGCAACATAGCGTGCGAGAATGCTGAGAGGGTATGCAAGGTCAGGTCGTGTGCAGGTCATCAGGTACATGAGGCAGCCAACAAGCTCTGCATACGGGCCACTCGACTCTACGGACTCATCCGAAGGCAGAGCTGAGAGCGAGTGGCGAGTAGGCAGAGGAGTGGCCTGAGGCGAGGAGTACGTGAAGCCGAAGCGCTGAAGGACCTGCTGCACCATGTGTGACTGAGTCAGGGTAATGGTGCGGCGTGCTCTGTCCCGGGTGATCTGCAAGCCAAGGTAGCTGCGCAGTTCACCCAGGTCAGTGCACGTGTGTCTCTTCTGCAGCTCGGACTTCACGTAGGCGAGTCCACCAGTGTCCGCTGTGGCAAAGACCAAGTCGTCGACGTACACAAGGATGTAGAACGGCGGCAGAGAGGTGTCGGTGCGCAGAAAAAGCGACGGGTCGGCAGTAGAAGGAGCAAACCCAAGAGCCGCAAGCGTAGTCCTCAGTGTGTCGTGCCACTCACGTGGTGCCTGGCGGAGACCGTAGACTGGACGCCGGAGACTCCACTGGGTACCAGGAGGGAAAGACCCAGTGAAGCCAGGTGGGCGACGCAGCCAGATCTCCTCGTGCAGGCTGCCCTGCAAGAAAGCTGTGCTGAAGTCGAGAGAGTGCAGCTCGTAGTCGCGGTGAGCAGCAACGTGCAGCAGTACCCGAAGAGTGGTCATCTTCGGGGTGGGGGAGAAGGTCTGAAAGTAGTCAACTCCCTGCCGCTGACTGAAGCCACGAGCCACGTAACGCGCCTTGAAGACAGGCGGAGAGCCCGGCGGCCGCTTCACCCTGAAGATCCACATGCCACCGACGATGTTCGCCCCAGGAGGGGGAACAGCGTCAACGTAGGTGCCTGTGGACTTCCAGGAAGCCATCTCTGCATCCATAGCTGCCTGCCACTGAGAGGAGTAGGGACCCTCTATCGCCTCAGCGTAAGAGCGCGGAGTCGGGACGCGTCCCCTGGTTACAGTTGTCACTGACCCTTCCTTTGAGTCCACTGCTGCGTCTCCCTTAGTTGCTGAGCTTGTCGACTTTGCTGCTCGCTGTCGTCTAGACTACGCCGCTAGTCTTGTTGCTGAGTCTGAGTCTGTCTGTCCTCCGTCCGTCGGGGGTGAGTATGCTCTTACCACGGACGTCCTTGAGGACAGGCAGGAGGAGTTCTAGTGTTTTGCTGCTGCTTTGCCTCATCTCGTGCCCATGCTGATTGCCCCTGAGGGAGACCCGGATGCACCAGACATCCCGACTCCTCGATCGTACGCTGAGGCGATCGAGGGTCCCTACTCTCTCACAGTGGCAGTCAGCCATGGACGCAGAGATGGCTTCCTGGAAGTCCACACGCACCTACGTCGACGAAATTCCCCCACCTAGGGCGAACATCGTCAGTGGCATGTGGATTTTCAGGGTGAAGCGGCCGCCGGGCTCTCCGCCTGTCTTCAAGGCGTGTTACGTGGCTCGAGGCTTCAGTCAGCGGCAGGGAGTTGACTACTTTCAGACCTTCTCTCCCACCCCGAAGATGACCACTCTTCGGGTGCTGCTGCACATAGCCGCTCAGCGCGACTACGAGCTTCATTCTCTTGACTTCAGCACAACTTTCTTGCAGGGCAGCCTGCACGAGGAGATTTGGTTGCGCCGCCTCCCTGGCTTCACTAGGTCGTTTCCTCCTCGTACCCAGTCGAGCCTCCGGCGGCCAGTCTACGGTCTCCGCCAGGCGCCACGTGAGTGGCACGACACACTGAGGACTACACTTGCGGCTCTTGGGTTTGCTCCTTCTACTGCCGACCTGTCGTTGTTTCTGCGCACCGACACCTCTTTACCGCCGTTCTACATCCTCGTGTACGTCGACAACTTGGTCTTTGCCACTGCTGACACTGCTGGACTCGCCCACGTGAAGTCTGAGCTGCAAAAGAGACACACGTGCACAGACCTGGGTGAACTGCGTAGCTACCTTGGCTTGCAGATCACCCGGGACAGAGCACAGCGCACCATTACCCTGACTCAGTCACACATGGTGCAGCAGGTCCTTCAGCGCTTCGACTTCACGTACTCCTCGCCTCAGGCCACTCCTCTGTCTACTCGCCACTCGCTCTCAGCTCTGCCTTCGGATGAGTCCGTAGAGCCGAGTGGCCCGTATGCAGAGCTTGTTGGCTGCCTCATGTACCTGATGACCTGCACACGACCTGACCTTGCATACCCTCTTAGCATCTTGGCACGCTATGTTGCTCCTGGGAGACACCGACCAGAGCACATGGCTGCAGCGAAGAGGGTGTTGCACTACTTGTGCAGTACGTCAGGCATGGGGCTAGTGCTTGGAGGGCGGCGTTCAGTGGTCCTCACCGGTCATCAGACGCTTCTTGGGCCGACGACCAGGCTACGCAGCGGTCGTCACAGGGTTACACCTTCAGTCTTTGTTCCGGCTCTGTTTCGTGGCGGTCCACCCGCTCGTCTTCTGTTCTCGGCTCCAAGTGTGAGGCTGAGATCTACGCGGGGGCCATGGCTGCACAGGAGCTATGCTGGCTCACATACCTGCTGACCGACCTGGGAGAGCCGCCTCGTTCTGCTCCAGTTCTGTACGTAGACAACAAGGCCATGCTGGCCTTGTGTCGGGAGCACAGACTGGAGCACACAACGAAGCACATTGCTCTTCGTTACTTCCTTGCTCGTGAGCTGCAGCAGCGTGGTCAGCTGCGCCTTGCTTACGTGGCCTCTCAGGCCAACACTGCTGATATTTTTACCAAGGCACTTCCGCCTTGTGATCATCAGCGCTGCTCTACGATGCTAGGTCTTGTGCCTACTTGGCCTCACTTGCTCAGTTCTTGACCTTGCTTGTACTGTGATCTATCTATACCTGCACTTGCTTGTTTACCTTTATATATGATCTTGCATGTGAACTGGCCTTGTGGCCTTGAACTTGTGCTCGGAATGTGTGGTGACGTTGTGATCCACCCTGAGCTTGCTTTGCTTTTCTTGACTAGTCTTGTGACCTCTTGTTCTCCCCCACTTTGTCTATGGGGGTGTGTCAAACTTATATGCTATAGTCTGTGTAGGCTGTCGTGGGGTAGACAATATGGGGTACAACACTTTTAGGTTTTCCTACTTGTACCCACCTGTTTCCCAGTGCATTCACTTCCTCGTTCTTTCACAGCAAATGGCCAAGTTTCTTGAAGAAGAAACGGTGAGCATAGACTCTAAGACAACATATCAAACTTTCAACATGTGGTGGAAAGTGCATGGTGCACGATTCCCCATTGTTGCAAAGATGGCACACCACTACCTTGCAATTCTGGCAACTTCCGCCGAATCGGAACGCACCTTCTCCACTGCACGTCGTCTCATCACCGGTTATCTTCATTGCCTTGATCCGTGTCTTGTGTCATGATTTGAGCTCACATGCATGGAGTGGTAGTTTAGTATTTGTTATTGAGGATATGTGCTTGTTGTTGTATGCTATGCTAAGTGCAACACAAGTGTAGTTGTATAACAGGATTGAATGTAGCAAAAAAAAAAAGGCATACCAAGTTTATAAGGTCGTACTCGATACTCGACTCGTATTCGAACGTATTCGGCAACATTCAACCCGTATTCGACTCGTATAAAACGATGGTATTCGATCAAATACTTTCTCTACAACGCTAAATATTCGTCAAAGTTACTCGTCGACTCGGTTATTCGTTTTTCACCCTTTACCTAAGGCTAATGAGAGGTCATGGCGGGCCCTCACCTTTTGTGGTTGGGTTGTTGTTGAGTGAGTTGTGTTTTGGTACACAAACTCCACTGTGGTCCCTACAAGTTCCCAAACCTGTTTCCTTCACGCACTACTGGCAGGGGGAACACCTAGTCACTCTCTGCAGTGGTGAACATTTCTTTCTGGAAAAACGCTTAGCCAGAAACATGTGCCCCCTGAAAACCGTCCATTGGGAAAGTTGCTATGAAGATCAAACATTCCGTTGCCGGGACTTGAACCCGGGTCTCTCGGGTGAGAGCCGAGTATCCTAACCGACTAGACTACAACGGATGTCACCAACTTTTGACACAAAAATAATGACCTATGTGTTTTTCTGCAATTCTGCCGCTCACGATGACGTTTTCCCATGCGGTTGTGATGACGTCGTCTCTCTCCGTCGCCCTGCACGGGGGCGGTCGCGTGCTCAGCATTCAGTCACATACCGTCCAGGTATCCGTTGCATGCAGTCGTACACTGCCCAGGTATCCTTCGCATTCTGTCGCAGACCGTGTTGGTCACCGTCGCATTCACCTGCCCTCACAGTCCAGATAGCAAACGATACCGACGTCGTTACTCTACCCCGGCGTAGGCAATGCAAAGCAGCGTTTTTACGTTACGTAGGGTAACCCTACGGTAGCCAAAGCAACCGCCGGTGGCCGAGAGTCCCTCTCAGGTGTCTCTCAGACGCCCCTCTCAAGTGACTCTCAGGTTACCCTCTCAGGTGTCTCTCAGGTGCCCATCTCAGGTGTCCATCTCGGGTGCCCCTTTCAGGTGCCCCACTCAGGTGTTTCTCAGGCGCCCATCTCAGGTGTTTCTCAGGCGCCCCTCTCAGGTATTTTCTCAGGGGGTCCCTCTCAGGCTTCTCTCAGCTGTTCCTTTCAGCTGCCCCTCTCAGGTGTCTCTCAGGTTCCCCTCTCAGGTGCCCATCCCAGGTGTCTCTCCAATGTCTCTCAGGTGCTTGCTTAGTACGACCATGCGAAGTCTGGTATGAAGCTCTGAGTGTCTCGGTCATGCATCAAGTGTAATGAAGCATGGGCTCATGCGAACGCGTGTGTGATGGCGTGTGTCTGCATTGAGTGTATGAGTGTATGTATATACATGCATACATATATCTATCTATATACATATTTATATTTATACATCTATGTGTTTAAACCCTGACACTTCGGTCACATATCTATATTGCTTCGTACCCGGTCCATGCGTCAGAACTATGTGGGTGGGCAGCAAGGTGGCCAGGTTCCCCCGGCAGCTGCTCCTGATGTTGCAGGGTGTTTTTGAGAATTCTCAAAAACTCCATGCGTCAGAGCTATGTGGGTGGGTAGCAATGTGGCCGTGTTCCCCCAGCCCGGCAGCTGCTCCTGCTGGGAAGCGAATGGCATGCTTTGCTTACCATCCAAGGCGCCTGTGTTTCCCTTGCCCGTGCTCCGGAGTTCTCTAGAGAAACCCCAATGTATGTGGGCAACAAGGTGGCCGCGTTCCCCCCTGCAGCTGCTCTGCTCCTAATGGCGTGCTCATGGCCCCACAGAAAACCTGAGAGAAACCCTGAGAGAAACCCTAAACCCAGTGTACCCCTGTTGCCTGCCCATGCGGTAGGGCTATGTGGGCCACAAGGCGGCCTTGTTCCTCCTGCAGCTGCTCTGATCCGAATGGCGTTCCCATGTTGGAACAGAAAACCCAACAGAGACACCTAAAGAAACTCCAACCCCAAACCCCTTGTACCCTGTTGGCTATGCGTGAATGCACCAGGGGTATGTGGGCAACAAGGCGGCGGTCTTCCCCCTGCAACTGCTGGGCTTCGATGTGGACCCCATCAATTCTGTGCAACTCTCCAACCACACTGGTGCGCATGTTGGTAACCACACTGGTGCGCATGTTGGTAACCACACTGGTGCGCATGTTGGTAACCACACTGGTGCGCATGTTGGTAACCACACTGGTGCGCATGTTGGTAACCACACTGGTGCGCATGTTGGTAACCACACTGGTGCGCATGTTGGTAACCACACTGGTGCGAATGTTGGTAACCAACCACACTGGTGCGCATGTTGGTAACCGCACTGGTGCGAATGTTGGTAACCGCACTGGTGCCAATAGTGGTAACGGCACTGGTGCGGGACCGGCGGTTGTCCATCCCATCTGGGTGCGTGCCTGCTGCCCCAGGGTCCATCACTCCTCCCACCTCACCACATGCCCCATGCATCTGTCCCATTCGTGCTGCTGCTGCAGGGTACCCCACGTGGAAGGGGCAGACACTGGACGGAGAGCAGTGCAGGTGTGGTTGGTGACAGAGGGGCACACCTCATGTGACTCGCACCATGCCCCCATGCACCCCACCCATCCCATCCATTCCCCAGGCTACCCCACGTAGAAGGGGCGGATACTGCCCCACGTGGAAGGGGAGGATACTGCCCCACGTGGAAGGGGCGGATACTGTACGAGGAGCAGCTGTGGGCAGTGAGAGAGGCGCATGCCTCATGCGGCTCCCAGCATGCCCCATGCATCGCTCCCATCCCGTGTGTGCAGGCTAGCCCACGTGGAAGGGGCAGATACTGAGTGGGGAGCAGCTGTGGGCGCTGATAGAGGGGCTGGGTTAGCGCCTGTGCATCCTGAGCCTTGGAGCAGCAGCCTGGGTGCGTGCTGGGTGCATGCACCCTCAAGCAGCCTGGGTGCGTGCTGGGTGGATGCACCCTCTAGCAGCCTGGGTGCGTGCTGGGTGCATGCACCCTCTAGCAGCCTGGGTGCGTGCTGGGTGCATGCACCCTCTAGCAGCCTGGGTGCGTGCTGGGTGCATGCACCCTCTAGCAGCCTGGGTGCGTGCTGGGTGCATGCATGCACCCTCTAGCAGCCTGGGTGCGTGCTGGGTGCATGCACCGTCTAGCAGCCTGGGTGCGTGCTGGGTGCATGCACCCTCTAGCAGCCTGGGTGCGTGCTGGGTGCATGCACCCTCTAGCAGCCTGGGTGCGTGCTGGGTGCATGCACCCTCTAGCAGCCTGGGTGCGTGCTGGGTGCATGCACCCTCTAGCAGCCTGGGTGCGTGCTGGGTGGATGCACCCTCTAGCAGCCTGGGTGCGTGCTGGGTGCATGCACCCTCTAGCAGCCTGGGTGCGTGCTGGGTGCATGCACCCTCTAGCAGCCTGGGTGCGTGCTGGGTGCATGCACCCTCTAGCAGCCTGGGTGCGTGCTGGGTGCATGCATGCACCCTCTAGCAGCCTGGGTGCGTGCTGGGTGCATGCACCCTCAAGCAGCCTGGGTGCGTGCTGGGTGCATGCACCCTCTAGCAGCCTGGGTGCGTGCTGGGTGCATGCACCCTCTAGCAGCCCGGGTGCGTGCTGGGTGCATGCACCCTCTAGCAGCCTGGGTGCGTGCTGGGTGCATGCACCCTCTAGCAGCCTGGGTGCGTGCTGGGTGCATGCACCCTCTAGCAGCCTGGGTGCGTGCTGGGTGCATGCATGCACCCTCTAGCAGCCTGGGTGCGTGCTGGGTGCATGCACCCTCTAGCAGCCTGGGTGCGTGCTGGGTGCATGCATGCACCCTCTAGCAGCCTGGGTGCGTGCTGGGTGCATGCTACCCTCTAGCAGCCTGGGTGCGTGCTGGGTGCATGCACCCTCTAGCAGCCTGGGTGCGTGCTGGGTGCATGCACCCTCTAGCAGCCTGGGTGCGTGCTGGGTGCATGCACCCTCTAGCAGCCTGGGTGCGTGCTGGGTGCATGCACCCTCTAGCAGCCTGGGTGCGTGCTGGGTGCATGCACCCTCTAGCAGCCTGGGTGCGTGCTGGGTGCATGCACCCTCTAGCAGCCTGGGTGCGTGCTGGGTGCATGCACCCTCTAGCAGCCTGGGTGCGTGCTGGGTGCATGCACCCTCTAGCAGCCTGGGTGCGTGCTGGGTGCATGCACCCTCTAGCAGCCTGGGTGCGTGCTGGGTGCATGCACCCTCTAGCAGCCTGGGTGCGTGCTGGGTGCATGCACCCTCTAGCAGCCTGGGTGCGTGCTGGGTGCATGCACCCTCTAGCAGCCTGGGTGCGTGCTGGGTGCATGCACCCTCTAGCAGCCTGGGTGCGTGCTGGGTGCATGCACCCTCTAGCAGCCTGGGTGCGTGCTGGGTGCATGCACCCTCTAGCAGCCTGGGTGTGTGCTGGGTGCATGCACCCTCTAGCAGCCTGGGTGCGTGCTGGGTGCATGCACCCTCTAGCAGCCTGGGTGCGTGCTGGGTGCATGCACCCTCTAGCAGCCTGGGTGTGTGCTGGGTGCATGCACCCTCTAGCAGCCTGGGTGCGTGCTGGGTGCATGCACCCTCTAGCAGCCTGGGTGTGTGCTGGGTGCATGCACCCTCTAGCAGCCTGGGTGTGTGCTGGGTGCATGCACCCTCTAGCAGCCTGGGTGTGTGCTGGGTGCATGCACCCTCTAGCAGCCTGGGTGCGTGCTGGGTGCATGCACCCTCTAGCAGCCTGGGTGCGTGCTGGGTGCATGCACCCTCTAGCAGCCTGGGTGTGTGCTGGGTGCATGCACCCTCTAGCAGCCTGGGTGCGTGCTGGGTGCATGCACCCTCTAGCAGCCTGGGTGTGTGCTGGGTGCATGCACCCTCTAGCAGCCTGGGTGTGTGCTGGGTGCATGCACCCTCTAGCAGCCTGGGTGCGTGCTGGGTGCATGCACCCTCTAGCAGCCTGGGTGTGTGCTGGGTGCATGCACCCTCTAGCAGCCTGGGTGTGTGCTGGGTGCATGCACCCTCTAGCAGCCTGGGTGCGTGCTGGGTGCATGCACCCTCTAGCAGCCTGGGTGTGTGCTGGGTGCATGCACCCTCTAGCAGCCTGGGTGTGTGCTGGGTGCATGCACCCTCTAGCAGCCTGGGTGCGTGCTGGGTGCATGCACCCTCTAGCAGCCTGGGTGTGTGCTGGGTGCATGCACCCTCTAGCAGCCTGGGTGTGTGCTGGGTGCATGCACCCTCTAGCAGCCTGGGTGCGTGCTGGGTGCATGCACCCTCTAGCAGCCTGGGTGTGTGCTGGGTGCATGCACCCTCTAGCAGCCTGGGTGCGTGCTGGGTGCATGCACCCTCTAGCAGCCTGGGTGCGTGCTGCTGCTCCAGGGTCACCAGACGCGCGTGCTGCTGCTCAGTCCTCCCACCTCACCAGACGCCCCAGTGCAGTTACCAACATGCGTGCTGTTGCAGGCTACCCCACGTGGAAGGGGCGGATACTGGATGGGGAGGGGAGCAGAGCAGCTGTGGGCGCTGATAGAGGGGTGAGCGAGGCGCGTGCCTGGCTGGCACGACGGGGCAGATCCTGGTAGGAGAGCAGAGGCGGTGTGGGCAGTGAGAGACGGGTACACCTCATGCGAATCCCACCACGTGCCGATGCATCATGGCCCATGCACCATGGCCCATGCGCCATGACCCATGCATCCCATCCCATTCTCCAGGCTACCCCACGTGGAAGGGGCAGATTCTGGATGGAGAGCAGCTGTGGGCGCTGATAGAGGGCCTGGAGGCCAATGGGCTGCTCTTCTACACGCACCTGCTCACCGGTGTGTGCCCCTGGTGTGCATGCTTGTTCACCGTATGGTGGCACTGTGTGTTGGTGGGTCCTGCTGCATGTGTGCACACCTGCACTCATAAAAGGGCCTGGAGGCCAATGGGCTGCTCTTCTACACGCACCTGCTCACCGGTGTGTGCACTTGTTGGTGGCGTGTGTGATGAAAGGAGCATGCATGTTGAGTCGACTCAAAAGAAGCTCAGATCGGTCAACCCCAAGCTGACACTGACGCACCTCATCCCAACCACTCACACCTCAATCTCGGTTGCATAATCAACCTCCCTCTTCTCTCCCCCTCCCATCAGGCTACATCGGGTCGCTCTCCTTCCTGAAAACTGTTCTACGGGTTGTGGAGAAGCTAAGATCAGTCAACCCCAACCTAATATATGGTACTTTCTGGGTTTACCCCAAGCTGATAATGGACGGTTATTTCTTAGTTCACCCTGACTCTAGATACAATACTCCATGGGTTAGCCTTAGCCTGATATATGGTACTTTATGGGGTAACCCCCATTCTGATATACGGTACTTTATGGGGTAACCCCCATTCTGATACATGGTACTGTATTGAGTAACCCCCATTCTGATATATGGTACTTTATAGGGTAAACCCCAATTCTCATAAATGGTATTTTATGGGGTAACCCCCATCCTGATAAACGGTACTTTATGGGGTAACCCCCATTCTGATACATGGTACTGTATGGTATGGAGTAAACCCCATTCTGATATATGGTACTTTATGGGGTAATCCCCATGCTGATACATGGTAATTTATGGAGTAACCCTCATTCTGATATATGGTATTTTATGGGGTAACCCCCATTCTGATACATGGTACTTTATGGGGTAACCCGATTCTCATATCTGGTACTTTATGGGGTAACCCCCATTTTGATACATGGTACTTTATGGTCCTCCTGTCCCCATCTGTCTCGTCTTTACCCCCGGTCCTCTCCTGTCCCCAGTTCTTTACACTTTCTCCTTATTCTTCTTGCGTCTCACCTCTCTTGGTGTGTTTTGAAGTGCAATCTTGGTGTGATGTGATCCCGCAATCTTCTCCTCCCTATGTGCGGTCTAGTCATGCTGCTGCTGCTTTTCTCGCATCTACCCATCTCTCTGCCCGTCCTCCGCTTGTCTCACATCCCCACATCGATCCGAATGGGCTTGTCTCACAAAGGCTGCCTCCATCCGCATCGCTGCTTTCCCTTTCCATCTCTCTCCATACCACCTCTCTTCTCCTCACCGTAATGGACCTCTCAAAGGCCTGCTGCCTGCTCCCCTCTCTCCCCCTCACCCATTCTCTGCCTCCCATCCCTCTCCAGTTTCCTTCCTCGCCCCAATCTCTCTCCCCCAATGTCTCCTCCCCATCCCTTCTCTCCCCGTCACAGTGTGCGATCCAGTGATGGGGGACGACGGTCGTCTCTACATTCGCCCCGAGCTCGTCCCCATCTACCGCCACCAGGTGCCACCTCCTCTTGCCGTAAGCGTGTTCTGCGAGGTCTCACAAAACCGCCAGCAGGTGCCACTCACACCTGTTCCTTTGAGAGCCACATCCACGTGTTCACATCCACGTGTTCACATCCACGTGTTCACATCCACGTGTTCACATCCACGTGCCACCTCCTCTCGCTGTATTGTGTTCTGTCTGAAAGGAACCGACAGCAGGTGTCGTGTCGTGACATCCACGCCTGCCCTATTCATGCCTTGAAAGTGCTATGCAAATTCTCAGAAACGCCTGCAGTTGCCATCTGTCTCACAGAACTGACACCAGGTGCCATGCCATTCGCACCAGCCCTGTTCATGCTGTGAGTTTGATTTGAGAATACAAAAAAAAAAAAACCAACGCATCAAGTGCCCTTGACACCTGCCCTGCACACCTGCCCTACACACCTGCCCTCTATGCGTCTCTCTGTGATGAATCTAACTACCCTATTGTTGGGTGTGCGCCTTCCCTCAACGCGGCATCCATCTAGCAGCTGACAGACAGACAACCAATCTCTCAACATCTGTGTATCGTTCTGGGCTCTCATCCCCGTTGCTCAGTGCGTGCTGCTGTGCTGCATGGCAGGTGGTCCCAGTGGCGACGCTCATCACGCCAAACCAATTCGAAGCAGAGCAGCTCACAGGCCTCAGGTGAATGGCTCGGTACTCTACCAGGTTCCTACTTAGCAACTTGTTCTTTGCATTATGTTGCGCTCAGGTTTGAAGTAGATTGGTGCGATGAGAGTCTCTCAACTTCTTTGAGGTACAGCAAATCACAGGCCTCACAACCCTGAGCAGGTCTTAACTCAAAGGCTTCAGGTGAATTGATATGCTCTTGCTACCTGCTCCTCTCCTCGCCTTGTTCTCCTTACCTTGCTGAGAATCATAAATGTCGATATTGATGACTCAAAAAGCATATCTGATCCGGCATTTGTTTTGCCGTGCTGTGCTGTGCCGTGCCGTGCCGTGCCGTGCCGTGCCGTGCCGTGCCGTGCCGTGCCGTGCCGTGCCGTGCCGTGCCGTGCTGTGCTGTGCTGTGCTGTGCTGTGACCTGCATCCAATCACAGACTTCAATCTATAGGTGCCACAACACTCGCCCACTCACTAACCAAACTCCCTGCACACGTGGCGTTTAGGCATTGCCAGTCCAAACTCACTGCTTCCCTCCCCCCCTCCCTCCCAGCGGCCAAACTAAGCAGCTGCCATCACTGCATGAGACATGCTGCATGTTGCAGGGCCCAGGAAGGTGAATGTGCATGGCATTGCCACAGGGGGGAGCGAATGTAGAATTGCTGATACTGGCACTGTTGAGGCGCCTCAAAAGTCTGATACAAGCACTGCATGTGCACCCCTTCTCCCCTCCATTTCCATCCTCCCCTGCCTCCTTCCCTCCCTCGCAGCATCCGGACTCAAGCAGACGCCATCACTGCATGTGACATGCTGCACGCAGCAGGGCCCAGAAAGGTATGGATGGCTACAGGGGAGGAAGAACAGTGGGTAGGTAGGTGAGGGGGACTTTTGAGACGTCTCAAAAGTCGTCTACTTACACACGTAGGTAGGTGAGGGGGACTTTCTGGAATCTCTTTAGTGGTTCGAACAAACGTGTGGCAGTGGATTAGCATGATGCTTGATGCTGCAGGGCTTAGAAAGGTATGCGTGGCTACAGGGGAGGAAGGACAGTGGTCTAGGGAGTTTCGGGGATTTCAAAAGTGTTTTGAATGCAAGTATGATAACGGTGTGGATGGGTATGATGTTGCCCGCTGTATGGCCCAGAAAGGTATCGCATTGAGTCGGTTCAGATCATCTAAGCTTATTAGGGGGGTGGGGTTGGGGGAAGGAGGAGGGGGAGGGGGGAAGGGGGGGAGGGGAGAGGGAGAGAAAAGACAGCCCTGCTGAGGATGGCATGGTGGGCGTGCTGACGTCATGGTTTGCTTGCTGGCGTTCCGTTGCTGCTGCGAGAGGGGAAGGACAATCCACGAGTTTTCCGGCCGAATTGATTTACCAGCAACGGCTGAATTGATTTACCCAGTAACAACTCCTCACGATCCATGAGGTGGTGATGGTAAGGCATGCGGATGAAGGAGCAGGAGGGTGAAGAAACGCCTCTTTCAACTCCTCTCAACCACTGTCACACACCCCACAACACTCCTATCAGGTGATGGCCGGCTGCTGGTGGTGGAGGGGTGATGTCCCACGAAGCACTCTTGCCTCTCTAGAACCTGCTCAACCCCTTTCAACCTCTTTCAATCACATTGATTTATTGTGGACACCACACAACAAGCTGATCAGGTGGTGCTCACGAGCACTGAGGTAAATGGCCAGCTGGTGGTGGTGGAGGGGAGTGTGCCTTGATAAGTAGCGCATCTCTCAAGCCCACTCCACTGCATTCAACCACTTTCAACCGCTCTCATCTACTGGTGATCATTAGCAACGCTCCCAGCTGGTGATGGCGGAGGGGATTGGTTTTGCATGGGCAAGGCCCTCTCTTAAACCTGCTCCATCCCTTTCAACCGCTTTCAACCACTCCGTTCAGGTGGTGATCACAAGCATGGAGGTGGATGGGCGGCTGCTGGTAGTGGGGAGTGACGCCAGCAGCCCTGCTGGAGAGGAGGTGAGTGAGGTGAGGCGGCATGAGGGTATCTGTCTGGTGGTGGAGGTGTGCTTTGAGTCACCAGGTGTCCAACCACTCAATCACATCTGCTTGGCGTGACGCCAGCAGCCATGCTGCAGAGCAGGTGAGTGAGAAGGCATGGGGAGCTGGTGGTAGGTGAGAGGAAGTGAGTGAGAGGAAATGAGTGAGAGGCAGTGAGTGAGAGGAAATGAGTGAGAGGAAGTGAGTGAGAGGAAATGAGTGAGAGGAAGTGAGTGAGAGGAAATGAGTGAGAGGAAGTGAGTGAGAGGAAATGAGTGAGAGGAAGTGAGTGAGAGGAAATGAGTGAGAGGAGGTGAGTGAGAGGAAATGAGTGAGAGGAGGTGAGTGAGAGGAAATGAGTGAGAGGAGGTGAGTGAGAGGAAGAGGAGTGTCTTTCTGGTAGTTGGGGTGCGTTTCGAGTCGACTCAGAGAAGTGGTGCCAGCAGCCCTGCTGCAGAGCAGGAGAGAGATATGGGCCCCCTTGTCTTGACAATGGAAAGCAGATATCTGTTTTGCTTCAATTTCTTTCTATCACTCATTATCCTCTTTGTTTGCACCAGCCATTGCCACCCTCACATACACTACCCTATCTTACTCCCTTTCCAATTCTGACATTCTGGCCGGCATTTGAACAAACACTCTATTCAGGAGGGCTCTGAACAGCGTTCTTTGCAGCGGTTCTGCATCGCAGTGCCCAAGATACCACACTACTTTACTGTATGGCGCTCCATTAATAGCTTTGAAGCAGCACGTGGCACATGGTTATGCAATCTGTCTCACACTTTCTGTGCCTCTTACCATGTCCCGTGTCCCACACAGCACCAGCTTTACAACATCACATATCACCAGCCTTACAACATCACATATCACCAGCCTTACATCATCACATATCACCAGCCTTACATCATCACACATCACCAGCCTTACAACATCACATATCACCAGCCTTACATCATCACATATCACCAGCCTTACATCATCACATATCACCAGCCTTACATCATCACATATCACCAGCCTTACATCATCACATATCACCAGCCTTACATCATCACACATCACGCATCACCAGCCTCACAACATGCCATTTTCACATGGATTTCGACGTGCTACTCCGCATGCCATTGCATATACCACACCAAATGCCATCTGACATACCATATCACATGCCATTGCATATACCACACCACATGCCATTTGACATACTACCATGTCACATGCCTGACATATCCCATCCAACGTACCATACCACATGCCATCCCACGTGAACGGCACACGTGCAGGGAACGGGAGATTTGATGACCGCATTGCTGCTTGGATGGTCACATGTGAGTGGGGCAGTGGCATGTGAGTGGGGCAGTGGCATGGCAGGAGTCTCATTGCATCGCAATCCTTCATCAGTCTTCTGGTGACATCTCTCAGCTCTGTTACACAGCACTCTGGTGCTTACATAGCACTCTGATGCTTACATAGCACTCTACTGCTTACACAGCACTCTGCTGCTTACACAGCACTCTGCTGCTTACATAGCACTCTGCTGCTTACACAGCACTCTGCTGCTTACATAGCACTCTGCTGCTTACACAGCACTCTGCTGCTTACACAGCACTCTGCTGCTTACATAGCACTCTGCTGCTCACATAGCACTCTGCTGCTTACATAGCACTCTGCTGCTCACATAGCACTCTGCTGCTTACATAGCACTCTGCTGCTGACATAGCACTCTGCTGCTTACACAGCACTCTGCTGCTTACATAGCACTCTGCTGCTTACAGAGCACTCTGCTGCTTACATAGCACTCTGCTGCTTACACAGCACTCTGCTGCTTACACAGCACTCTGCTGCTTACACAGCACTCTGCTGCTTACATAGCACTCTGCTGCTTACACAGCACTCTGCTGCTTACATAGCACTCTGCTGCTTACACAGCACTCTGCTGCTTACAGAGCACTCTGCTGCTCACATAGCACTCTGCTGCTTACATAGCACTCTGCTGCTTACATAGCACTCTGCTGCTTGCATAGCACTCTGCTGCTTACATAGCACTCTGCTGCTTACATAGCACTCTGCTGCTTACACAGCACTCTGCTGCTTACACAGCACTCTGCTGCTTACATAGCACTCTGCTGCTTACATAGCACTCTGCTGCTTACATAGCACTCTGCTGCTTACATAGCACTCTGCTGCTTACACAGCACTCTGCTGCTTACATAGCACTCTGCTGCTTACAGAGCACTCTGCTGCTTACACAGCACTCTGCTGCTTACATAGCACTCTGCTGCTTACATAGCACTCTGCTGCTTACATAGCACTCTGCTGCTTACATAGCACTCTGCTGCTTACATAGCACTCTGCTGCTTACATATCACTCTGCTGCTTACACAGCACTCTGCTGCTTACAGAGCACTCTGCTGCTCACATAGCACTCTGCTGCTTACATAGCACTCTGCTGCTTACATAGCACTCTGCTGCTTACATAGCACTCTGCTGCTTACATCGCCCTCTACTAGTTAAAACCCACTCTGCTGTTCATTCTTCCTGCTCTACCCATCCCATCCTCTCCCTCCCTCTCTCCCTCCCTCCCTCCCTCCCTCCCTCCCTCCCTCCTCCCTTCCTCCCTCCTTCAACAGAAGTATCCGCACGACTTGGCTAGAGCAGCGGAACTAGCAGTGGCATCTCTGCAGGTGAGCAGCTGCTGTTGCGCCTAGTGCCACTGCTTGATGCTGCTCTGCTGTGGTTTTTACACTCGTTTAGCTGTTCTGTTGCAGCAGCAGAGGTGGCAGTGGCATTGTTACAGGAGGTGAGCACCTGCTGCTGGTCCTGATGCAATTGGGTGTTGCCGCTGGGCTGTCCATGGCTTTGAGGCAAGCTATATCAGCAGAGTTGGCATTGGCAACCCGTGGCATTGCAACCTTCCTGACCTGATTGCTCCTCTCCTCCCATTCTTTCTCCCTACAGGCTGTGCTCGCACGAACCCTGCAGCACCACTCTCCACCTCCGGACGGCACCGTTTCCTCTCTCACTCCCCCCACCCCCAAGCGCCTGGAGCTCTGCCTCATTCAGAGCCGCGATAACTTCAGCTTCTCCTCTCCCCCTCTCCCTCCCTGCAGGCTGTGCTCGCACGAACCTTGCAGCACCGCTCTCCACCTCTGGACGGCACCGAGTCCTCTCCCACTCCCCCCACTCCCAAGCGCCTGGAGCTCTGCCTCGTTCAGAGCCGTGACGACATTATAAGCCCGCCTGTTGTGTTACGTGCACAAGCGGTTGAAAGCGGTGTAGATGGTTTAGATGGATTGCAAGATGGTGAAAGTGCCTTGGTGAGCGGTGACAGTGTAGGGGTGCTGCAGGATAAGGGAGTTGATGCTCAGCTGACAACTGAGAGCTGAGTTGAATGTACTGTAAAAAGAGAACGCTCAACTGTTTTTGGCCGGGTGAGGCACTTTCCTGAGCACAATTAACACCAAGAAAAGGACCAGGCGGAAATCGAACCAACAAGGTGTTGCACATCAGTATTTGAATGAGAGAGTTATGCTATTGGTCCTGTGTTGAATGGAATTTGTTGTGTATTATTGTATTTGACAACGACGTGATTTTCAAGGTTGGACGTACTGAGCTCTCTTGTCAAGCATCATGGAGGACGCAGAGCCGCTGCGCGCGCTCTCCGCCCACATCGCGTAAAAACGGACCAGGCGGGTATCGCCCTTACTTAGTTTCCCTCAGCTTTCCGCTCTATCGCCGCGTTCCTTCCGTCCCTAGTCCCTCCCCGCGCTGCGCGCGCTCTCCGTCCACAGCGCGTGACGCGGACCGTACTTGTCTCCCGCCGAGTAGCCATGCAGGACGCAGAGGCGCGCCGCTCTCGCCTGCGCAGCATGCGCGAGTCCGCGGCGAAGCAGCAGGCGGCGTCCCCCGGCGCGCCCACGCCTTCCACCGCCATCTCCGCACTCCCCTCCCCCGACTTCTCTCCGCCGCTTATCCGCACGCATCCGCGCGTGCGCCATCCGGGGAAGGCGGACCTGGGGGAGGTAGATCTGCTAGACGGCCAGCAGGAGCAGCCACCACAGGCTCGGGGAATTTCTCACAGGCCTCATGTAAATATCTTCAAAGCTCTAGCGTGTTTGTCTTAAAGCCCTATCATTCTCAGCTTCCGAGGTACCTGATCTACCCTACTCCCCAGCACCACGAGTGTCAAGTGCTGCCGTTTATGACTCCCAAGGGGCCGGGCAGGGGGCAGGGCAAGGGGTAGGGCAAGGGGCAGGGCAAGGGACAGGGCAAGGGGGAGAGCAAGGGGGAGAACAAGGGGCAGAGGGGTCAGGGGAGGGGAGACCGGCCAGCGTGGACAGACAGTCAGTGAGGCAAGCGGTTGCGAGGGAGGGAGCCGTGCAAGAGGAAGTTTTTGACAATCTTTCCATGGTGCAGGTGAGCGGGGCGAAGAGAGAGAGAAGACAGGGGGGGGGGTCTATTGTGCAGGTGTTTGTGAGAGGGGCGATTGAGAGGCGTCCGCACAAGAGGGAGTCGGCGACGTTCCTTACAAGGAGTAGGTGGGAAAGAAGCATATGAGATATGTGACAAACATCCGCTCTTGCCTGACAAGGACCTCATGTTAGGGAGCTGGTGGCGTTCATTACCAGGACCGTAATGAAGCATCTGAGATATGTGACAAACATCCGCTCTTGTGCTACTTAGGACCGTACTTCAAGGACCTTATATTTCTTCATTTGCTTACGATCCCTCTTGTTTCTTCCCGCCCCATATTTCTTCATTTTCCACCCTCTGCTTACACTTCCTCTATTGCTCGCCAACGCTCACATTCCATCCAGTTGTTCTCGAATCCACACCCAGGCATTCATGACTGCATCTCTCGCTTTCCCTCGTTTCTCCCCTCTTCTCACCCTTGCATTTCTCGCAACCCTCCCCCATTCTCTCCTATTTCTCTGCTCTTTCCCCCATCCTCCCCTCTCCCATTCTGCCTCTGCCCCAACCCAGCCACTCATCGCCGCCGCCCACAGTGCCGGGAGCAGAGGGGCCGCAGTGAGCGAGGATTCAGGAGGAGCGGTTACCACGAACGTGGAGGAGAGGCATGCACACAGGGGACGAGGGGGAGGTGGGGCGGGGAGAGCAGGAAGAACACAGGTGGGGAGGGGGGACACAGGGGGGTTGCTGGTGGGGACGGCGCCTCAGTGGCCGGTCGGCCGGAGGGCAAGCGAAGCAGAGGTGAGGGCACGACTGCAGGGAAGGATCAATAGTCTGCTTTGCAGTGTCGGCCCTGACAGGCAGGAGCATACCACCCGACAGATCAACGAGGTGGTTTACCAGCTCGCGATCCAAGACCCCACTGCAAAAGAGCTCTCCGTCTCTACCGTCTCCCTCGGTGGCCCCTCCCTCGCCTACTACCTCCATCTCGCTCCCCAGTGCTACCCGGACTTGCTACAGTGCGTCACCAGCCTTGACCTACGTAATCTCCAGCCCGTCTCGACACAGGCCGTGAGACAGCTTCTCCGCCTGCCCTCCCTCACAGCCCTTCACTTCCACGAAACTCCGATCCGTTCAGACGCCCTGCCGCTCTTCCAGTGCATGTCTCGGCTCCGGCGGCTTGTCATAGCATGTGCTAACCCCTCCGACGTTCTCAATCTATCTGCCAGGCGGCAAGCCAAATCACCCACTCCGTCTGATCCCATCAGCAAACCCCAGCCGTTTCAGAGCTTGAGGGAGCTACATGTGAGTCGGGTGACAGACTCTATTCTGCAGCAGGTGGGGGTGCTCACAAGCCTTGAGCTCCTTTCTTGCACGTACAGCAAGGAGGTGACTTGTAGGGGATGGATTCACCTAAGGGGAATGCTGAACCTGAAGAGGCTGCAGCTGGTACCAACAATCCTTATAAAAAAATTCGGATCCAATGACCACCACAGCGACTACTACCGCATGTGCACCCGCCTTGGGCTGAAGCTAAGCTTCCCCGAATACCGCCTGCCAAAGATCATCCAAACCTTCCAAAGGCCTCCCAAAAAAGGGGCTGCTGCCTCCGCAAGTGAAGACCCCAGCAACCGCATTGATGGGAGCATATGGGAGGTGGTGGGTGCCCTGCCAGGCCTGCAGCACCTGGAGCTGCACGCACCAGAGCCCAGCACCACAGCCCTGCGATCCCTCTCCACCATCACGCACCTCACAACCCTCCACATCACCGGCACAGCACTTGATGACTCTGACTTGTTGTGCTTGTTTGGGTTCTCAATGCTCACAGACGTCAGCCTGGCTGCCTGGACGTTCGCAGCAGACCATGCTGTGAGGACGGTGATTCAAGGCATGACGCACCTGAAATCGCTGGACCTGTCGGGAACGGCCATCAGCCAAGGCGCTGCGGTGCATCTGCAAGCGCTAGAGCGGCTGGAGCGGTTGAAGCTGCAGCAGTGCATCGGCATGAGCAAGCTGTTTGTGGAGCATCTGAGCCAGGTTCCTGCGCTGAGGGAGTTGGATCTTGGCTGCAACAACATGCAGCATGCTTGGCTGCTGCCGGTTCTGGAAGGGAAGAAGGTGACTCGGCTAGGGGTAAGGGGCTGTGGGTTTGTTGCAAGAACATTGAAAGGGCTTCAGCGTGATTGGATTGAGATTGACTTGAGATCAAATGAGTGACCATGGGAGGGATGAGTCGTACGGTATGAGTTATAGAGTGCTTTGGCAAGTGGTGCAAAACCATCCTGCATGTAATTGGGTTAGAATTGTGAAGTAAGACTGTGAGACCACCACGTTGAATGTGCAGCACACATACTGGTAGCTATGGTGTTTCATCAGATGTTAGTTAACAATAGCCGTTGGAATGGAATCTTCAGACCCTTCCATTTGAAAAATTGATCCACTCTTATCACACAAAACAAAACTATATGTATGTGAGCTCAGCAACAGGTAGTCATATGGTACTAGTGTTCCATATGAAAGCCCATGTGCTAAAACAGCAGCATTCCTGCTTGCCGATCGCACTTTAGCGGCAAGCCCCAATGCCCCATGCGAGTCACCCTTTAGTAGCCCACGGACGCCCAGCCATACTTCTGCAGCTCCACACGCAGTGCCTGCCGATGCGAGTGAGACATGGGAGAGGGATGGGAGGGGGGCAGGGAGAGATGGGAAAGGGGCGGTGAGAGATGGTGGAGAGGTAGGGAACAGAGAATGGTATTGGACGCTTGGGGTTGGAGAGGCAAGAACGAGTCGGGACTATTTAGATGTAGTGTCGGGACCAATGAAGCCCGCCCTGTAGCAGCAGGTTGGCATCCAGGTCGCTCTCCCCCAGCCAGGGTGCACTGCGGTACTCCACCAGGGAGCAGCACAGAGGGAATCACAACTCCCTGACCTATCCACCCCATTCTCCCCACCCACAACCAGCCCCCCCATCTCTTCCCCCCCTCCTCCCCCTCACCATCGCACCTTGATGCGCTTGTGGTTAGAATCCGGTCGCTCTCCCCCAGCTGCAACGCACTCCACCAGGGAATGGCTGCCTGGGGGAAACCAGAACCGCCATCCAAGCCCACCCGTTCACTTCCAGGCAGCCCACGCATCCCCCATCCACCTCCCAACCACGACCAACCCCCTCCTCCTCCCTCCCATCCCCACACCACGCACCTTGATGCGCTTGCGGTTGGCATCCAGGTCACTCTCCCCCAGCCAGGAGAACCGGAATCCCAGCCTCAACCGTCCATTCACCTTCCATCACAACCCATCCAATCACCTTCCATCACAACCCATCCATTCACCTTCCATCACAACCCGTCCATTCACCTTCCATCACAACCCATCCATTCACCTTCCATCACAACCCATCCAGCGCGCCATGAGCAGCGCCGTCGTTGTCGTTGGCGTGTCAGCGGCATGGCAATCGGCGTGACAGCGGCGTGGCATCGGCGCCCCGAAGCAGAGCTAAACGGAAATCGCCATGTTTGGTGGCAGATTTTGGATGTGGAATGCCGCATTGCTGCTGGCTCCTGGAACGGCAGATGACGAGCTTGTGCTGGCTGCAGCGTGCCTGCCATGACCATGCACACGTCAGCAGGAACAAGGACAAGCAGAAATCGGAACAAACGGAGCTAAGAAGAGGGAATCTATGAAGAAAACGAAATTACTGGAAACAAGACTGAAGATAGCATGAGTAAGAAAGCGGGCTCACGAAATACTAATGCCATGGCCCATGGCGGACGGCGATCCAAAAGAGAGGCTGCGCTCTTGAGTAGAATGGCTTGAGATTGAAACGAGATCTGAAAAAAAAAAAAAAAAGCAAACGAAATCACGAAAAACGAAACCACGATAGCGTGACTCCGACTAAGAAAGCAGGCTTACGAAATGGTGATGCCATGCCCAATGGCGGAGGGCGATCTAGAAGAGAGGCTCGGATGTTGAGTTGAGATAGAGTGGCGGATGATAAGAATCGAGGTCTGAAAAACGGGAGTGGGAGCTAGGTGAGCGATTGTGAGCCCAGCCCACTCACATCACGTTTCGTGCGCTTTCTGGCCTGCTTGGTCCCCCTGAACGAACGTGGGTGCCTTGGCGCTTGCTCGCTTGGGGAGGAGAAACCCAAACCAGCCCGATTCTGAAGGGGTAGCAAAAACGGTCCAAATAGCTCACTATACTCATCCTCCTATGGAGAGTGAATGCTACAAATGCAGTGTAAAAATGAGAATGCGGGCAGGGGGGATCAGGAAGTTTCAGGTTCAACAAAAACGGAATGGGCAGTAGGGGGGTATGGGGTTGTGTTTGGCTGTATGTGCACTCCAGTGCCCTACTCTACGAGTCAGCCTTCTTCTTGTCCTGACATGGCCCGACACGGCGTCCAGGGTGCAAAGTGAATGTACCGAAGTAGCGTTCTGCACAGTGCTACGTCGGCAGCGCAGTGACAAAGTCGGAAAGCCGGTTTGGGTGCCTTGTGTATATGCAGTCCGACACTCCGATACAGCGAGCGCGACCCAAAGTGAATGTTCCAGCTTTTACAGTGACAAAGTCGCAGCGCGAATAAGTTTCGCTCGTCAGCTGTGCCCAAAACGAGAACAGCAATACAGTATCTTGCAAAACTACAGCTTTCCACATGGCAGTAAACAGAATTGATTTTGCTGATTTACAAGTTACACTTGTAAGTGGACAAATCTGTTTGTGTAATCTGGAGCTTATGCATGTAGGTCAACAAATCAATAACAAATTAGCTCTGGAATAATGAGCTAAATATTAAGGAACGTGCGCATCTGCATGCGTATATGCATGAATACTCGCATGTCTGGTACCTACCTGTTTCACCTAGACGCGCGTAGACATACGTATACATGCGTACGTATGCCTTCATGCACGTAGTGCGTCTACCTACCGTACACACTCGTACGCGACGCATATGTACATAACCGTACATGGGGGCTGTACATAACCGTACATTCCCATATGTTGGTGTTGTGGGTTAGCATGGTGCTGTGGGTTAGCATGGTGCTGTGGGTTAGCATGGTGCTGTGGGTTAGCATGGTGCTGCGGGTCCCAGAAAGGTATGTGTGGGTACAGGGGAGGAAGAACAGTAGGCAAAAGGAAAATTTTGGGCAACTGTAAAAGTGTTTCGAGTAGACTGTTGGTGAATTGGTATGATGTCACACGCTGCATGGCCAAGAAGGGTATTTCGTTGAATCAGTCCAGTTCATGTAAGTAAGCCTATGCAAGAGGGAGAGGAAATGGGCTGACCTGCTTTGTTGGCATGGTGGGATTGCTGAGGTTACTACGGTGGGCGCGCTGACATCATGGTATGCTTGCCGACGCTTTGGTACCGCGGAGAGGAGGAGGCCAATTCACGGGTTGCCCTGCTGAATTGCCCTGTCGGACGCTTCCCGGGTTCCTGTCAGGGCAGGGTAGAATAAAAACCTTTGGGCAGGTGTAAGATAAACCGGGGGAGATGGGGTTTGCGGAGGATAAGAGGGGATTTGCTGTGAAGCACTCCCTTTAGGCGGAAGGCCAGGTGCTTCTGGTGGAGGGGAGATTCCCCGTGAAGCACCGCCTCTCTTAATCCCGCTCAACCCCTTTCAACCACTTTCTATTCCATTACTCAGTGTCAAGCACCCACAACACTCCCATCAGGTGGTGATCACGAGCAGCGAGAGGGTTGGCCAGATGGTGTGGTGGTGGGGGAGGAGAGTGGGCCTTGAGGCATCGCTTCTTTGGAATTCGCACATCCTACTTGAACGGCTTTCAACCACTCCCCATCAGGTGGTGATCACGAGCGTGGAGGTGGGTGGGCGGCTGGTTGTGGTGGAAGGGGGGTCTTTCATAGACAATGCCTCTCTGAAACCCGCTGCACTGTTCTCAACCACTTTCAACCGCTTTTAACCACTCCCACCAGGTGGTGATCACAAGAATGGAGGTGGATGGGCGGTTGCTGGTGGTGGGGTGGAGTGGAGTGGCCCTTGAGGCAACACCCTTTTTAAATCCATTCAACCATTTTTAACCGCTTTCAGCCACTCCCGTCAGGTCGTAATCACAAGCATGGAGGTGGATGGGCAGCTGGTGGTGGTGGGGAGTGACGCCAGCAGCCCTGCTTCAGAGGAGGTGGGTAAGGGGAGGCGGCATGGGGACTGTTGGATTTTGTTATTGATGTCTGTCTTGAGGCGACTTAAAACACACCTGGACTGTACATGCTGCTGCTGCTGGTGATGTGAGTGTCGCCGCCAGTAGCCCTGCGGCAGAGCAAGTGAGTGAGAGGCATGGGGAGCTGGTGGTTGGTGAGAGGAAGTGAGAGGAAGTGAGTGAGAGGAAGTGAGAGGGAGTGAGTGAGAGGAAGTGAGAGGAAGCGAGTGAGAGTAATTGAGAGGAAGTGAGTGAGAGGAGGTGAGAGGAAGTCAGTGAGAGGAAGTGAGAGGAAGTGAGATGAAGTGAGTGAGAGGAAGTGAGTGAGAGGAGGTGCGTGAGAGTAAGTGAGTGAGAGGAGGTGAGTAAGAGTAAGTGAGTGAGAGGAGGTGAGTGAGAGTAAGTGAGTGAGAGGAGGTGAGTGAGAGTAAGTGAGTGAGAGGAGGTGAGTGAGGAGGTGAGTGAGAGGAGGTGAGTGAGGATGAGGAGAGCTGGTCTGGTAATTGGGTTGTTTTTTGAGTCCACTCAGAGGGATGGCACCAGCAGCCCTGCTGTAGAGCAGGTGAGAGAGAGCGGATGGGGCAGAGCAGGTGAGAGAGAGCGGATGGGGCAGGTTTCATACAACAGGTCGGCACATGAGGCATCCATGCCGTATTGGTCAGTGTTAGTAGGTTAGCAATGGGCCCCTTGTCTTGACCTTGAAGAGAAGATATCTGTTTTGCTGCCACCCTTCTCTGGTCGCTTCACCCCCCTGCGCCGGTCAATTATCCTGCCTAGCTGCAGTGAACTTGTGCCCGTTTTCTTTTCTTCTTTCTCGCTCTCTCTAGTTCTTTTCCTTTGTTATCTGTCACTCATTATCCCCTATGTTTGCACCTGCTCTTGCCACCCGTACATACACTACCCTGGCTCCCACTCTCCAATTCTCACTCTCTTGTCGACATCTTTACAAACATATTTCAGGAGGGCTCTGGGTCACATTCGTTGCAGCGGTTCTGCATAGCTGTGCCCAAGATACCCTAGTACTTCACTGTATGGCACTCCTTCTCACATTCTCCTTGTTGCACTCTCCTTCTCACACTCTCCTTCTCACTCCCCATCTGACTCCCCATCTTCGAACTCTTGCACTGATGAAGGCCTAGCGGGTATGATCCCCGTGCAAAGCCGAAACATGTTTGCTTTCGTCTAGAGTTTGAACTGAGTTGTACGTTCGGATCTTAATCAACTTTTTTCGAGGGTTACTTTTTTCACTGTTTGACTATCGTCCTTGCCTACTGCTGCCCTTCTTCATGAGCACAGATCCGTGGGACTCTCATTCTCACACTCTCCTTCTCACTCCCCATCTGACTCTCCATCTCACAATCTACAGTACCATGTCGGTTCCAGGTGCATGATCACCTGTAGCTTCGAAACAGCACATCGCACATGGCTATGCAATTTCTCTTACACTTACCATGCCTCTTGTCATGCCATTTCACATGCCACCTCACATGCCATTCCACGTCAGACATGGGCATTTTGACCTGACAGGTTGGGTCGTCGGGTCAGGTCCAGGACAGGCCGACCGGACCCGGTCAAGTCGACTTGCGACCCGTAGATTCATATGTCAATCGGGTCGGGTCAAACCGGCCCGTTGACGGGTCGCACTGGACCCGCCTATGATCACCCAATCTTCTACGCACCATCAGATCTGTTTGAGTCCTTGCGCGCACATCAGCAGCCGCGCTTCCCACTACCAGAGAGTAGTGCGCGCCACCCCACAGAGCAGCGCGCGTTACTCCCACCTGCATATAGCGCTCGCTCCCATTATTGAAAATACTAAGCTGAGTGCGCCACGTCAGGCAGCAAAGTGCACGCCACTCCCAACTGCCAACTCACATGCCCTTTCAAATGCCATACCTCATGCCGTTTTACATACCATGTGAAACGCCACTCCCAACTACCATCTCACAGTGCTGGTTACATTTCACAGTGCTGGTTACCTCACAGTGCTGGTTACATCTCACAGTGCTGGTTATATTTCACAGTGCTGGTTCCATCTCACAGTGCTGGTTACATCTCACAGTGCTGGTTACATCTCACAGTGCTGGTTACATCTCACAGTGCTGGTTACATCTGACAGTACTGGTTACATCTCACAGTGCAGTGATGGTTACATCTGACTGTGCTGGTTACATCTCACAGTGCTGGTTACATCTCACAGTGTTACATCTCACGTGCTGGTTACATCTCACTCTTCTGGTTACATTGACTCAATCTGCTCCTCATTCTCTCATCTCCTCTCCTTCCATTCTCTCCCTCACACACTATCCTTTCCCCCCTCTCTCCCTCTTTCCCTCCCTCCTTCCCTCCCTCTATCCCTCTTTGCCTCCCTCCTTCTCTCCCTCTCTCCCTCCTTTCATCAGAAGTATCCTCACGACTTGGCAAGAGCAGTGGAGGCAGCAGTGGCATCCCTACAGGTGAGCAGCTGCTGTTGCGCCTCGTGCTTGTGTTTGTTGATGCTCTGCTGTGTTTTCACTGTTCGTCTAGCTTTTCTGTTTCAACAGCAGAGCTGGCAGTGGCACTGGGCTGTCCATGGCTTTGAGGCAAGCTATATGAGCAGAGTTGGCATTGGCAACCCGTGGCATTGCAACCTTCCTGACCTGATTGCTCCTCTCCTCCCATTCTTTCTCCCTACAGGCTGTGCTCGCACGAACCTTGCAGCACCGCTCTCCACCTCTGGACGGCACCGAGTCCTCTCCCACTCCCCCCACTCCCAAGCGCCTGGAGCTCTGCCTCGTTCAGAGCCGCGATGACATTATAAGCCCGCCTGTTGTGTTACGTGCACAAGCGGTTGAAAGCGGTGTAGATGGTTTAGATGGATTGCAAGATGGTGAAAGTGCCTTGGTGAGTGGTGACAGTGTAGGGGTGCTGCAGGATAAGGGAGTTGATGCTCAGCTGACAACTGAGAGCTGAGTTGAATGTACTAAAAAAGAAAACACTCAACTGTTTTTGGCCAGGTGAGGCACTTCCCTGAGCACAATTAACACTAAGAAAAGGACCAGGCGGGATTCGAACCAACAAGGTGTTACACTTCGACATTTCGGAGAGAGTTTTATGCTACTGGTCCTGTATTGAAAACTTGGTAGGTATCATGTTATACTACAAGCAAGTGATTTCCGTACTGAGCTCTCTTATCAAGCATCATGGAGGACGCAGAGCCGCTGCGCGCGCTCTCCGCCCACATCTCGTAATAACGGACGCGGGTATCGCCCTTACTTAGATAGTCTCCCTCAGCTTTCCGCTCTATCGCCGCGTTCCTTCCATCCCTAGTCCCTCCCCGCGCTGCGCGCGCTCTCCGTCCACAGCGCGTGATGCGGACCGTACTTGTCTCCCGCCGAGTAGCCATGGAGGACGCACAGGCGCGCCGCTCTCGCCTGCGCAGCATGCGCGAGTCCGCGGCGAAGCAGCAGGCGGCGTCCCCCGGCGTGCCCACGCCTTCCGCCGCCCTCTCCGCACTCCCCTCCCCCGACTTCTCTCCGCCACTTATCCGCACGCATCTGCGCGTGCGCCATCCGGGGAAGGCGGACCTGGGGGAGGTAGATCTGCTAGACGGCCAGCAGGAGCAGCCACCACAGGCTCGGGGAATTTCTCACAGGCCTCATGTAAATATCTTCAAAGCTCTAGCGTGTTTGTCTTAAAGCCCTATCATTCTCAGCTTCCGAGGTACCTGATCTACCCTACTCCCCAGCACCACGAGTGTCAAGTGCTGCCGTTTATGACTCCCAAGTCATCTCTCAAGCATTTCTCGTGTCATGTCGTGCTGGTGCCGCGTCGTGCCGGGTCGCGCCGTGCCGTGCCGGGTCGCGCCGTGCCGTGCCGTGTCGTATCCTGTATGCCGACCGTATGTCGAAAATGTCCATCGGGGAACTACCTTGAGGCAGAAGCAACTCAACGTCTCTCCCTCCCCATGTGTGATGCACCCTCCAACTGCCTGTCTAACTAATATGGGCCCTTCTCCCAGGTTGAATAGAAAAAACCCCTGTTTCTGGCCTCCGTTTCCCTCCCTTGCAACATCCAGACTCAAGCAGACGCCATCAGTGCATGTGACATGCTGCGCGCTGCAGGGCCCAGGAAGGTATGCGAGGCTACAGGGGAGGAAGAACAGTGGGCAGGTAGGTGAGGGGGACTTTCTGGAATCTCAATACTGTTTCGAACAAACGTGTGGCGGTGGATTAGCCTGCTGCTTGATGCTGCGGGTCCCAGAAACGTATTCTGCACGGCTAGGGCCTAGAGGGGACGAAGAACTGTGGGGCAGGAACTTTCGGGAAACTCAAATTTCCTCAAGTGTTTTGAATGTAAGTATGATGGTGAATTGGGATGGTTTTGCATGCTCTAGGGCCCAGAAAGTCCACGTCCACGTCCACGTCCACGTCCACGTCCACGTCCGTATCACATTGAGTGGGGTTCAGGTCATCTAAACCTCATGGGGGTTGGGGGTGGGATGGGGGGGGGGGGAGGAGGAGGGGGAGTGGGGGACGAGAGGGGGAGAGAGAAGGGCACCCCTGCTGAGGACGGCATGGTGGGCGTGCTGACGTCATGGTTTGCTTGCTTGCTGGCGCTCTGGCACCGCTGCGAGAGGGGAAGGATAATCCTCGAGTTTCCGTGCTGAATTGATTTACCAGCAAGCAACACCTCCTCGTAATTCATCAGGTGAGGCACGAGGAGTGGAGGGAGTGTACTTGCTTTGCTTCGAGGAGAGAGGGAGGGTGAAGAAACACCTCTTTCAACTCCACTCAACCGCTGTCTCGTACCCCACGACACTCCCATCAGGTGGAGATCGCGAGCATGGAGGTGAAAGCCCAGCTGCTGGTGGTGGAGGGGAGATGTCCCATGAAGCATCGCCACATCTCTTAAGCCCGCTCAACCCCTGTCAACTGCTTTCAACCCCCCCAAAATATTGTAAACACCCCAAAACACTCCCGTAATGTGGCGATCACGAGCATGGAGGTGGATGGATGGCCGGTTGCTGGGGTGGAGTGGTCCTTGCGGCAACACCCCTCTTAAACCTGTTCAAACCCCTTCAACCAATTTCAACCGATATCAACCCCTTTCAACTGTTTTCAACCACTCCCATCATGTGGTGATAACGAGCATGGAGGTGGATGGCCAGCTGCTGGTGGTGGGTAGCGACGCCAGCAGCCCTGCTGTAGAGCAGGTGGGTGTAGCAGAGAAGGTGAGTGGTTCAGCAGAGCAGGTGAGTGGTGCAGCAGAGCAGGTGAGTGGTGCAGCAGAGCAGGTGAGTGGTGCAGCAGAGCAGGTGAGTGGTGCAGCAGAGCAGGTGAGTGGTGCAGCAGAGCAGGTGAGTGGTGCAGCAGAGCAGGTGAGTGGTGCAGCAGAGCAGGTGAGTGGTGCAGCACAGCACGTGAGTGGTGCAGCAGAGCAGGTGACTGGTGCAGCAGAGCAGGGCACGGGGTGTGTGGGTGCTGGACTCGCTGCTGATAGCCTGGTGCTGGTGGTGGGGCGTGACGCCAGTAGCCCTGCTGTAGAGCAGATGGGTGAGGTGACAGGGCATGGGGCGTGCCAGTGTGGTGGTCGAGGTGTGCTTTGAGTCGAATCACTCGCATGTGGTTGGATATGCTGCTGCTGCTAATGCTGGTGCTGGTGCTGGTGGTGGGGAGTGACGCCAGCAGCCGTGCAGCAGGGGAAGTGAGTGAGGTGACAGGTCATGAGGGTGTTGGTCTGGTGTTGAGGTGTGGTTTGAGATGACTCCTGAACATGCTGCTTGTGCTGCTGGTGGGTAGTGATGCCAGTAGCCCTGCTGCAGAGGAGGTGTGTGAGAGGGCATGGGGGTGTTGGTCTAGTGCTTGATTTGATGTGTGGTGTGAGGATGGGGCAGGTTTCACACAACAGGTCGGCGCATGAGGCATGCCGTGTCGGTGAGTGTTAGTAGGTCAGCAATGGGCCCTTGTTTTGACCTTGGAAAGCAGGTCTCATCACTTCACCCCCCTGCTCTTGTCACTTCACCCGCCTGCCCTTGTCACTTCACCCGCCTGCCCTTGTCACTTCACCCCCCTGTGCTGGTGACTTATCCTGCCTACCTGCAGTGAACTTGTGCCACTTTTCTTCTTTCTCCCCCTCTTTCATTCAATTTCTCCTACGTTTGCACCTGCCCTGCCCACCCCTACATACACCACCCCGTACATACACTGCCCTGGCTCCCACTCTGGTCAACATCTTGACATACGTATTTCAGGAGGAGGGCCCCGGACCACCTGGATCATCTGGATCACATTCCTTGCAACGCTTCTGCTTTGCAGTGCCCAAGATATCCGAGTACTTCACTGTATGGCACTCCTTCTCACACTCTCTCTTCTCACACCCTCCTTCTCTCACTCTCCTCACACACTCCTTCAGTGTGCAAATCAAAACAAGCAGCGCATATCGTCTCTCTCATCCCCCCTTGCTCTCCCTTCTGCCCTCCTCTCCCTTCCCCCCTTACTCCCCTCCACCTCCCTCAGGCGGCAAGGCGACAACATGAGCGTAATCGGAAGGGTGATGGCAGAAAAACTTGTTTGTGATTGATTAATAAGCAGAGATGGGGTACAAGAGGGGGGAAAACCCCCCTAAAATCCTGAAAAAAACCCCCCCAAGGCCCCCCCAAGGCCCCCCCAAGGCCCCCCTAAGGCCCCCCTACCCCCCAATTCTCCTCACAGCCCCTCAGAGCCCCCCTCGAACCGCCCTGGAAATCCCTGGGCATGGCTCATGCATATCTGCTCCCTGTCATATCACATTCCTGCTTCTGCTTCTACTTTGTGCTTCCTATCTATCATATCCCTCCCGGGCAGGGCATGGCATGGCATGGCATGGCATGGCCAACCAGGGAGGGGCGCACAGCACAGAGAGCCAGGAGCGCATCCACCACTCCCTCTTCTGTTCTGCTTCTGCTCCCCACTCCCCTCCCTTTTTCCTCACCCCTCCCCCCGTTCTCTGCCCGCCAGCGTATATAATAACAAGCACATACATTCACATTCGCTAGGTCATCAAATCTATAATTCATCTATCACTCTACGCGTCGTAGCAAATAGCCTCATGTTGTCGACAGGAGAAAATGGCACATGCGCTCCCTCCTTGTGCGTCTGTTTCTCTCTCTTCTTCTCCCTCATGTCCTGCCCTGCGCATGGCTGAACACAAGCAGGTGGCAACGCATCTACTCCCTGTTTCCGTTTCTGCCACTCTTTCATATCCCAAACCTGGCCCAAACCAAACCTGCACTTCCCCCCCCCCCCCCCCCCCCCCCCCTCCCCCTGCTTCTGTTTCTCTCCCTTGTTCTCTCTCATGTCCCGCGCATGGATGATGAGGGACGGCCACACAAGCAGCTGGCAACGCATCTGCTCCCTGTGCAAAGTATCTTCATCTTGGCGACAGGAGAAACTGGCACCTGCGCAAGGGGAGGGGAGGAGTTGGGGTGGGGGAGCAGAGCAAGTGAGCGGGGGGAGCAGGGCAAGTGAGCGGGGGGAGCAACCTAAACCCCCTTACCCCCTTACCTGGCAGGAAATGAAAGTCACCATGCAGGGAATGCGAATGCACCTGGCAGGGCATGCCAAGGCACCATGCAGGGCATGAGAATTTACCGGGCAGGGCATGAGAAGGCACCATGCAGGGCATGGGAAGGCACCTGGCAGAAGGGGGGAAGTGGGGAAAGAGGGGAGGGGGTGGGTGAGACATGCTAAAATGGGCAAGCGCTGCACTGGTACCTGACAGAAAGGGGAGGAGAGAGGGTGGCCTGGATGTCTCAACGTTCCCCATGCACCTGCTGGAAAGGGGAGGACAGAGAGGAGGAGGTGTGTGACACACCGCAAAACAACATGCGCAGCACTGGCACCTGCTGGAAAGGGGAGGACAGAGAGGAGGAGGTGTGTGACACACCGCAAAACATGCGCAGCACTGGCACCTGCTGGAAAGGGGGGGACAGAGAGGAGGAGGTGTGTGACACACCGCAAAACAACATGCGCAGCACTGGCACCTGCTGGAAAAGGGAGGAAAGAGAGGAGGAGGTGTGTGACACACCGCAAAACAACATGCGCAGCACTGGCACCTGCTGGAAAGGGGAGGACAGAGAGGATGAGGTGTGTGACACACCGCAAAACAACATGCGCAGCACTGGCACCTGCTGGAAAGGGGAGGACAGAGGGGAGGGGGTGAGTGAAACACCTCACAAAAGTATGCCCTGCACCCCCACTCCGTGCTGCACCATCCGTCACACCACGCGCTGCTCTGGCAGCTGCTGAAACAGGGGGAGGGAGGGAAGGGGAGGGGAGTTGAGGGGGTGGGTTACATGACTAAAAACAAAGGAGAGAGAGGAGGGGATGGGTCACATGACTCAAAACAGAGTGGAGAGACAAGGGGATGGGTAACATGTCTCAAGAGGGGTTGAGGGTATCATATGAATGATACTATGTTTAGTTCTTGTATGTTCTTGTTTCTGTTCTTAGTTCTTGTTTTGGTTGTTTCTTGAGCCGTTGTTTCCGTTCTTCTCTCACCATGGGGCGGCGAGGTGAGGAGGCGAGGTGCTCGACAGCGGCGCGTGGAGGGCTGAGCCGCCCGCGTGGAGGGCTGAGCCGCCCGCGTGGAGGGCTGAGCCGCCCACGTGGAGGGCTGAGCTGCCCGCGTGGAGGGCTGAGCCGGCATTCATGGGGTGGCCGACCCACCCCATGCGCCATCAACACCACGTGCTGCAGTGGCTCATGCTGGAAGGGGTAGCCTGGTTGTAGGGTTTCGGGTTCAGAGTAAGAGGAGGGGGGAGAGAGAATGGGCAGGGTAAGTTCGGTGGGGAAATGAATGGGGCAAGTAATAATAATATGGGAAAACAGAATTTGATGTTCTTTCCTTTCAATTGAAAAATTCCACTCCTTTCATCGTCTCAAGGCACCTAGCAGGGGATGACGAAGCATCAGGCAGGATATAAGTGGTTTGGGGAAAGGGCGAATTGTTTTCCCAATAATATCAATATTGGATCTTATTGTTTTTTATATAGATGCTTCTTTGTTTTTGTCATGCTCTCATGTTTCAGTTGTGTTTAGTATTTTTCTTGTACCTGGAGACGCGTTGTGATTTGAGCGCCTGGAGGCGCATGGAGGCTGCACTGGCACCGGCTCTGCTGTCTGCCAGAGCCGCGCCATGCGCCTCTGCTGTCCGCCAGGGCCGCGCCATGCGCCGCCAGAGCGCCACGAGCAGCGCCGTCGTTGTCGCTGGCGTGTCAGCGGCATGGCAATCGGCGTGACAGCGGCGTGGCATCGGCGCCCCGAAGCGGAGCTAAACGGAAATCGCCATGTTTGGTGGCAGATTTTGGATGTGGAATGCCGCATTGCTGCTGGCTCCTGGAACGGCAGATGACGAGCTTGTGCTGGCTGCAGCGTGCCTGCCATGACCATGCACACGTCAGCAGGAACAAGGACAAGCAGAAATCGGAACAAACGGAGCTAAGAAGAGGGAATCTACGAAGAAAACGAAATTACGGGAAACAAGACTGAAGATAGCGTGAGTAAGAAAGCGGGCTTACGAAATACTAATGCCATGGCCCATGGCGGACGGCGATCCAAAAGAGACGCTGCGCTCTTGAATAGAATGGCTTGAGATTGAAACGAGATCTGAAAAAAAAAAAAAAAAAAAAAATAGCAAACGAAATCACGAAACTACGATAGCGTGACTCCGACTAAGAAAGCAGGCTTACGAAATGGTGATGCCATGCCCCATGGCGGAGGGCGATCTAGAAGAGAGGCTCGGATGTTGAGTTGAGATAGAGTGGCGGATGATAAGAATCGAGGTCTGAAAAACGGGAGTGGGAGTTAGGTGAGCGATTGTGAGCCCAGCCCACTCACATCACGTTTCGTGCGCTTTCTGGCCTGCTTGGTCCC